GAAAATATTCTATTTAGGGTATGCCTATTCTGCAGTGGATGCAGTGATTGGAGTTCCTCAGAAAGATGTACTTGGGTAGGTTTCAGCTACCAAGTTCAGGTGCTGCAAGGACTATTATAGTCAGCACGTCAGCGCAGAGCTCAGGATGGGCTGCCCCAGCATAGAAGAAGCTGGGTAAATACAGAGCTTGGTAAGCACTGAGCTGTGTAGTGCCATCCCTGCACCACAGGCCAGGTACAGCTGGCTGATTCCAGGTGTGTCAGGCCTACCCTCCTCAGGCAGTGAAAGGCAGACAAATGAAAATTGAGTTCTTTTTCAAGTCAAGATAATAATTCAAGTCTTCGTTACTTCTGTAAGCTTTTCCCTGTCAAAGCTTACTCTGATTGTATTTTGAGGAACACTGGGTAACATTTAAACTTTTCTTAAACTTCTAATTTGTATGACATGACTGCTGCATGGATAGAAGAAGTAGATGCAAGACAGATGCAAGAAATCCTGTTGTTTGTTTACTGTGGATTTACAGCATTTCTAGGTGCTTGCTCCTTTTCTATTTTCCCTGTTGTTCACATGAGCATGACAAAGAGTAGCAAGCAAAAGAAAAAAAATTTAAAGGGAGAGAATATGATACTAATGCCACAAATGTAAGTGCAGGGATTGAAGGGCAGGAGTATCAGAAAAAATAAATTTGAACTTCATTTTTTTAAATCTGTAACATTTCAGGTTTGTCTCTTGAAAATCCAGGGCACAGAGATTTCACAATTGAGTGAAAGACATTTCAGTTCAGACATACCTTTCAAATCCTGCTGCATGTTTCCTCCTTTCTGGGAAAGTCGCTGGGAAGGGAGCCACTCTCTTCTCCATTGCCCTTGGAACTTTAATTAGTATTGCTTTGGTTTTTTTCAAAAGAAGCTATTAAAAGCAAACAAAGTGTCTCACGAGACACTACAGAGAGAAAAAACAGGGCGACACAGGAAAAAATGCTGTGAATTGAAATTTAAAAATGGAAAGAAAAGTATAGGTGAGGTATTTTTCCATATAATTTCTTCCATGATTCTGCTCCTCCATCTGTTTTGTGTGTGATGTCTATGACTTGCCACTCATATTCCATCCCTATGCTTGGAAATTGCTGTCCATGAAGTGAAAGGTGAAGGAAAAAAAAAAAGAAGTAGAACGGCGTGAGGAAGACATGAAGGGGTGCAGGGAGGAAGAGATCTATTGAGTGTAAAGGTGTCCAAAGGAGATGGAAATGTGTTCCCCAAGGCCATGGTCTTCAATGGTGCTGTTGTATTTTCCAGCTGTTAGCATAGCAGGTGTACAAGAAGAGCCAAATTCCACATGCTACAGTAAGTGCAAAATTTCGAAACACAGAAGCCATCACATCAAGGGTTTTCTTGTCCCCTGATAGAGTCCGCCCACAGTGGTTCTCTAGAAACAGTTCTATTATCAAGTAGACATCCATTGCTTTTTTGTTTGTTTTTTTTCTATTTTTATTTAAAAAGTAGTTTTCTAATAATATATAGAATATATAAATAATAATAATAATAATTAAAAAAACCTATTTGGGTTTGCTTTCTGTTATCCAACCCATCTGTATTTTTTGTGGTTTGCCGATATATATATTAAAAGACAAGAAAATCAACTCTGCTCACTAGTAAAAAAAATATTAAATCCACTTTTTATGTTTCCAAAGAGAAAGAGAAGGAGGGGAGGTGGGATAAAACCAAATTAAAATGAAAAAAAAAATAAAAACAAAACCCTCAAAAAACCAGGAAAATCAAAACCTTCTGTCTCTTCAAAGTAGTTGTCAAGAGCTTTAAAAGCTTGTGCTTTCAGTGTACACCCCACAGGAAAACCAACAAAAATAACAAAAATAACAACAACAATAACGAAAAAAACCAAGGACCTAAAATTAAAAAAAGAAAAAGGTAATAATAATCTTAGTAGTAAAAAGGACAGCAAATCGTTCAGAGTTTCTGTGTCTTTTTAGTTATTTTAGCAGCCGCCCTTTTTGTCTGCAGAGGGAGAGCTGCCACCACAGCCACCTCCTCGGCTCGAGAGAGGCTCTTCTGCATCATCCTCGTCAAAGCCATGAAAGGTCGAGGTGTCGCTTTCTGACGTGGAACCGAACAAGTCCTCCGTAGTGCGTGCTGGCGCTGCTTCGTCCTTCCTGCCTTCTCTTCCCAAATGAGCTGACATGTATGATGAATATATCAGCACATGGGTTAAGCAACAGGCATTATCATCATAATTTTTCAATTATCATTTAATTATCATTTAAAAAATCAGACTATCGAGCTCATAGGTGTGTGCTTGTATGTGCCCGCACACCTCAACAACGTAGCATAGGTAGAACTGCAGTAAGAGAAATAACAAAGGATCACTTTCTTTTTCAAAGAAAAGAATCTACAAACACCACAGGTGCCCATAGCTACAGCAGCGAAAGGGTTAATCATGTTTCCTCTCTTCAAAAGACAATAAAATATTTCCTCATGATTACTTAAATCAATTTTTAAATATTTTTAGACCATATAAGTAATTAGACACTGTTAGCTCTAAGCACAATGACTTCAGACTGGCATCAACTGTCACAAATTTACTGCTATAGAAATGTAAACCACTAGATACCTCATCAGTCTCAGGACTATTTTTTTGTCCCCATGCTTCACCTGATCCTAAAGAACCTCCTCTGTAGACAAAATGAAATACATTTTGAAGACTAAGTGAAAGTAGCTTAAACCAGTACTCTTACACAAATTCCATGGCATATCCTTCAAAAATAAAAAAACCTCAAAAACTAATATATACAGTTCAACAACTAAAACAACTGAGATGAGGAATGAGCCATCTTGGGGAACACTGAAAAGTTCAAATGTGTGTAAATCAATCCAACTTTCAATATGGAGCAGGAAATTCTCCACACAGGACATCAATAACTGCAACAATAATAACAAGAAGACTCTTAAAAAGAGAAGTCAAATACTGAAATCTGCAAAACTGAGATTTATTTTCTTTCTCAATCAAACTTATGTGATTAATAGTACAGCCTTCAAATTCCCTCTTCAAGAAAGAGTGGCCCAGCAAAATCGAAGTGTGAGATTTTAGGGAACAGCTATTTTCTTATTCAGAAACAGTAGCATGGTATTAAGCAACCGTTTGGTCCCTGCTCCAGCTGAAAGGAATCAACCATATAAGAAGTACACTGCATTGCTTGAGACACAAAGAATTAAATTCTGTTCACAAAAAAAAAAGACAATGGATATAGCAAAATAATTGGTAGATGAACCACTGAACCACCTAGTAGATATGTCATTTTACATTTGTGAACAGAAAAAACAATATAATTTCCATGAGCTCTCTTTCAGAAATTTTCTCCATTATCAAGAAAGAGAAAGATGGCAGCCACCAAAAAGGTTTCATTGTTTTAGAGATTAGTGTGTGGTTGTACCTTAATCACTTTCATCACACATGAGTCAAAGCATTGCAGACCTCTATGAATGACCCAAGTGGGTCAGAATTTGTACCAGGATAACATTTAAGGGAACTGACATTGCAAAATTTAGGTTACATGCTGATCTACTTGTTCTATCACACTAAGGAATCAAGGTAATTAATGTATTTGTGTTACATTCTGATATAATCACCATGTTTAAATAACAATAAAATATGGATCCATCTCACTGTGCCATATCAGGACAATGCTCAAATTAGTTATATTGTAATATAACAATCAAGGAGAAGGGCAATGATCTTCCAAGATGGCACCACAGACCCCATGAACTTCCCCTTTCTGTTATTAAGAAGCAATCACATACACACTAAAAGGTCCACGTCCCTGACAGCACAGCATTTGTAAGAATGCCCCTGGAGAAAACCAAAGGGGTTGCCATTGATCTTCTGGTGACCAGACAGTATCATTTCAGAATATCTTTAGAGGTCACAACAACTGCAGAAGGCAATTTGTCAGTGAGAGTCTAGTCCTTCTCCCCCTGAATGTAGTAATAGGCTTTCTATGAATCTCAGCAGGAGCATAAAAAGGTCATTTCCTTGGCATGAGAACATTTCACATCACATGTCAGCCACCAAGCAACAGACATCTTTCAATGACTACAGTACAGAAGGAGCAGCAGCCATACTGGATTTCAAGGCCTCTTTGGTTTTCAGATTTCCATCTGATTTTCTTATCACCACTAGTATCACCACTGTACAAAAATACCCCAACTGAAAACTTGGACCAAAGCTTGAATATGCAGTTGTTAAAAGTCTTGTATTCCCTCTACCACCATTACCACCACCTTCTACATGGGCTATAAATAACTGTTCAACTGGTATAAAATTTCCCAAAAAAGAAAAGAAAAAAAAAAAAAGAAGGAAAGGAAGGAAGAAAACAACAGCCCAGAAATAAAGACAACTCAGAATGGGAAAGACACAATTGCCTACATTTAAAAAGAGAGAAGGGAAGAAAAGGGAGAAATAAAAACCTCTTTAAACAAAACTAATGATAGTCATCTTGTAAGAGGATAATTCTTGACAGCTACCCCCACCCCTACCCTGTAATTTCCTCCCTCTTTCTTTTTTGGATGAAGAAATGCATGAAATGTGTAATCAATGGAAATGCTTGTCATGCAACTTTCATAAATCTTGTAAGTAATTCATAGTTGTAATTGTAGCATTTGAAGACAGAAACCATTCTTTAACATTGTCATAGGATTTTCTCCTTCCATGTGAAGAACAACTAATACATGCACCAATGTTCCCAAAAGCCAATAAATACACTGAAACTTTATTATTTTATAAGACCCCATTAGCTTAAAAATGTGAATCCAACAATAGGTTTTATGACAGAAAATTTCCCAGTCATCCTTTCCCACAAACACAGAGGTAAGATTTCATTTTCTATCCCTTCCCAAATGTGCTGCCTTTCTTCAACATCTTCAGAAGGTGCAAAAAACAAATCACACAAATGCCTTTGTACAAGAAAGATACAAGAAGGAGTCACCTACCAGAGCGCCCACAGTCTGAGCACGATACAAGTTCCTCAGGTCGACCACTTTTTTTGTTCATATTGGAGCCTCCGAGGCAGAAGTCACAGTAGTTATTGGGAATGATGACCCCATCTGGTCCTTTCTGGGCTGCAGTCGGGTTAGAAATCAGATTTATTCAAAGAGCACTCATTTGGACATTTCCCCCCTTCTACTTGATATGATGTTAGCTCAGTGAGTTTGCAGGCCGCTGTCTTCCCAAAACATTGTCAATCAGAACAAAAAATGAATGCAATAAACCACCTCTATTATAAGTACACCCACTGCTGTATCTCTTTTTGCCTGAAATGCCCTTCACCACTTCCTTTACAATCCCAGCCAGGCTGTTCTCTCACAAGGACGTGCTTCCAGATATGTCTTTACAGTTCAGGGACCTTGTAACACGTACAGGCATAGAGACAACCCTTAATGCAGAATCAGACCTATGCTGTCAGTAAGCCAAACCTGGTTTTCAGGCAACACTCATCATTGTAAACCCACAAAATACAAATTCAGAAAGGAAAAATACAGTCTCCAAAACTCAAAAACCAGCAGCAGGGAGATGGAGGAATAGGAACTCTTACTGATTTTATTTCAAGCAGGTTTTTTAGGGAACTACATTTCCATGTAGCAGGGTGTCCTTAGTCAAAAAGTTGGTCGAAATGCTCGTGAATATTCACAGGCAAAGCCATTTTGGGTATTTCACCAAAGACTTAAGCCACCTGCAGCAACCATGTGCCCTGGGATTAGCAGGGAGGGTAGCAGATCCAGCACTACTCCAGCATCCAGCACAGGTGCAGAGTCAGCCTGGGGCAGACATCCCAGCCAACAGAGTTAAAAATTCTTTCAGCCAAGAAAAAAAGGAGGGAGGTTATATATTCTTATTTTTCATCTAGGAATAGTTGGAAAGGAGCAAACACACACTGGTCTTAAGTAGAGGAGGGGACAGATCCCTTAGGAAGGAGAAAAGGGCAGAGGTCTTTTGCATTCCTTTGAGTTGAGCAGAACAGCAATGTGCTTTTTTTCTTGCTCACAACTGCCATTTTTCTCCTCTGCTCTCCAGAGAGGGAAAACTTCTTATTCCTGTACTGTCTAACTAGGAACTGGGGAAGGGACAAAGGAGTGGAGGGAATGATTGGTCTTTGCCTTTGTTTCTTCTCTTTGAATTTAAAAAATCCAGTAGGATATCTAGCCTAAGCCTACCCCATGAAGATTTCTACAAACTAAAAAATTAAGAACTTAAAACTGTATCATCTATATTTAATTATCTTTTTAATGCATATTTTGTAACTTGAAGATTTTTAACAGATGTTTTGACAGCCTTTATTAATGGTCTTTTTGTCCACATTCAAATTTCCCCCAAAGAACAATGACATTCTAAAGGGCTTCTGGTAACAGTCCAAGACATACACTTAAAATTAAAATTTCCTCCAAGTTCAGTCTGTTTTTCTGGTTTGGTGCATCTATTTATTCATTTATTTCCAACTATTGATTAGCTGAACTTTTTGGAGTTTGGCAACTGAAAGATTCCAGGAAAGGTGAAATTAAGAAGAAAATTAAAACCCATAAGACTGCAAATACAACAATATCTTCCTGCATGGTCACTGAGTCCCTGACGGTATTTACTAAACAATGGATGTTGCTCTGAAATGGTCCTGGTTAACAGATCCACAGCTCTCTCAAAACCAGAGAGAAGCTTACAGTGTTGGATTAGTATTTTGCGTGTTCACAGAGAGGCATTTAGTATGTGCATGCAAGATAAGCAAAAAAAGAACAGGAACCAGGTGGAAGCCCAGTCACCAGCTCATTTTAAAAGCTGTAACAAAATGATCATAAAGTTGTTGCTTGTACATATTTTGTATATAAAAAGCAGATCTCCCTAGCATTTATTTTTCCCACTGCAGCCACATTTTGAAAAAGTTAAGTAATTACGTCTTTATATTTTTCTGCGTCTACAGACAGGCCATGTGCAATGCAAATTCAGCAAGCTCAGCATTCAGTGACTTTTTTTGGTTATTGTTCCTTATTACTTCACCTTTCATCCAAGTGTCTTAAAGCCCCTTACAGATACTAAGATCCTGTTACTAACCTTCGTTGAGGTCAAAAGCCTCTTTTGCCATTGACTCTAACCAAGGTGTTCTGGACTCTAATTAAGTCTTGTGGTGAGGTCACATTGCATTTTAAAGCTGAAACACTTGGAGGTAGAGTGGTGAACTGGCTTACTCACAAACACACAACAATTCTGTGGTGAGGCCACAAATAAAAAAGAAGCATTCATGGTGCCAGCCAGCAGATTTAGGAAAGAGCTCCACTTCTGCCACTGCTCATAATGGTATAATTGACTTAACACTCTGCATATACTGACTTAATTTTTTTCACTGTGGATTATGACCTGAAGATCCACTGACTGTCAAACTGGAAATGGAAAGGGGGTCTTTGTGAAAATACATACACTCATCAATTTGTCTGTGGTGTGTGGGAGAGGTGGAGGGTATTTGCTGACTGTGGCAAAGCCGAAGGGATTCTTCTGGACTGTTGGCAAGGGAATAGGCATGAGTTTTGACTGCCTTCTTTTCTTTCCTTTTCTTTTCTTTTCTTTCCTTTTTCTTTCCCTTTCCCTTTCCCTTTCCCTTTCCCTTTCCCTTTCCCTTTCCCTTTCCCTTTCCCTTCCTTTCCTTTCCTTTCCTTTCCTTTCCTTTCCTTTCCTTTCCTTTCCTTTCCTTTCCTTTCCTTTCCTTTCCTTTCCTTTCCTTTCCTTTCCTTTCCTTTCCTTTCCTTTTTTTCATTATTTTCTTCTTTGTTTTCTTCCAATTAAATTTAATTTAATGTTTAATATGAGTGCCTATGTGCTCGTTTATTGCTCATCACTTACAAATATGGACCTGGCCTACACAGGTAGAGTGTGATAGATATACCAGGCATGAAAAGTAATACACAGATGAGAAATCCCTGAAGTTACATCAATGATAACTTAAATTATGTATCTCTGGAGCCAAATAAGCGAAGCAATGTTATTTTCCTCAATGTTTTTTTGTTCTAACAGATGTAAAAACTAGAACCAAACGCGACATGAGCTTATTTTCTTGATCAGTACCATACAGTGAACTAAGCCACAGGCTAAATCACAGAAGGTTTGAGAATAAAGAGATTTTCAGATGATAGTAAGCAGAGTTCTTACTTTCAAAGTTTATTGGGTTTTTTTTTAATATGTCCTTGGAGTTTCTAGTTCTATTTTACTCTTGTTCACAAATAATGAAGGAAAGAAAGCAAAGATGCCAAGATTTAACATGCAGTGAAAACGTCATGAAAAGGGTATGATGAACAAAAAGCCCAACCCTAATCCCACCCCTTAATCAATAAAATTACTTACAAAACTAACTATGGGAATGAATTCACAAGTGAAAGAAATTGAATTTCTAGGGACTAATGCTGCTGCTTTTCATCTGAGACATAATAATTATCTAGAAATCCACTTTTTGCATAAGTAATCACCAAATAGAAGGTGTTAGCTTAAGCCAGACAAATAGCTCAGGTAGCAAGAAGTAACTCTTTAGCAGTGAGCTGAATCATTTGGATCAGGTGACTGCCACTAGAGATTCTGTCAAAAAAATGTTCAGCCAGAATCAGAAATTTTTTTAAAGCAAAGGCTTGAAAACCAACCATGGTCTTGTCCTAACTTACTCACAACTCCTCTTTTACATTGCAAACTGCAACAACAGATCAAGAGCCGTGAGGAGCTTTGAGGAGTCCTGCCTGAGCTAAGGTGTGCTCATAGGGGATGTATTTAAATCAGTGCCTCTTGCCATTTCAACTCAGTGTCACTTCTGAGTTTCATCAAAGGCCCTGTCTTCATCTACATCTGACCAAAATAAATACAGTATACAATTTTTAAAAATATTTCAAAACTTTTAAAAATGGATTAAGGAGAGACAAGGAAAGATCTGCACAGTTCAAATAATAGTTTCTTTGAACCTGAAAGGCGATTCATGGGAAGACAGGATGCAGACTGAAACTAAAGTCAATATTTCCAAATAAATTTGGTACGCACTTATTCTGAAATATTTTTTTCTTCCTAGCCTAATCAAGTTAATTTTAAACTATAACAAGTTAAGCAGTATAAAGAACTACTTAAAATATGGTACCATCATTCACAGGAGTCTTTTGCAAAGTAAGTTCTGTAAATTAAATAAGTTCTGTAGTATATCACACAGTAACTGTTCTGTAGACAAAACTTCAAAACCTAAACAAATCAATGGAGTTTAAATATATAAAATAACTTCTGTGCCTTCTTGATTTTGAAGGCAGGGGCTTTACACAGAGTTCTAGCTTCCCTTTATCCCTCCCAAGTAATCAAAAACCCTGTAAGCTATGTTCCTCATGGTTTCAGTTTAATAATCAAACCAAATCACAGTCACATATATTTCTTCAGCCTGTAGGTAATAGAACATAATGCTTAACCATAATTTAAGCAGTGCATCTAGGTTTGGCAGCATATTATCCCTATTTTTTATCAAATCCACATTACTGGGAATGCAGTGGAGAATGTGTGGAGTGCATGCCTTGCTGTTAGGGTGGGGGACTGTGCATCATTTATTAAAATGATTACAGTGAATTAGCTACAGTCAGACATGTATGTGCTTCCAAAGGGATTTTTTCGAGCACGTTTTGCTACTTCTGAGTTTGATCCAAAACCAATAAAGTCCACTGTAGGTTTTCAATTTAATTCAAAAGGCTTCAAATTAGGCCATTTACTCTGTTTGCAAAAAGGATCTTCAGAAAACAATCCAGAGGGGGGACTCTGCATATAGGCCTGAATCAAGTCAATGCACTTCACCTTGGCGGAAAAGGGGTGGATTTGCTTTTTTTGATGGTGTTTTTATTTTGTTTAATTTACAAGACTCTTTGTCTGAGACAGGGCCAGTTTTCCTTTCCAACTCCTCCCTTTTTCTCCCTGTCAAAGGGCAAGTCCAGTGTTTGGCCTCCTGAGCAGCAGAATCCCAGAGCCAAGAGCCTGCGTCTGCGGCCGTCAAGCCCCTTGGAGGCCTCGGTGACATATAATCCCAACCTATGGCTCCATGTGCCTCTCCTCGCCACCCCCCATCGCTGCCAGC